TTAGTTATACCTAGCTGAGATCACCACCATATTTATAAGCTTCGTCTTCCTTCTGTTTAAGTTTTTTTTCGGAGACGATGGTGAAAAATCAGTTTAGAAAAATCGTGACATAAGGTCATATAAAAAACTGCAACAACAACAACAACATTAACTCTGGCAAAAAGTTGTAATAATTATAATTTATGCACTCATGTGTAATAACGTTTCTTTCTCTATCTCTATCTAACACGATCCCTTGTCCCCTTGAACTTTTTTCGTTCCCCCTCTCTAGCAAACAATTTGTTATTGTTTACAATATTTTCATAATATTTACTCATATTTTTTTTTTTGTTGTAGTTGCCTTTAAGTATGATACGTGATGTGCATTTATAAGGTAAACAAAGTGGGGGAATTTGTTATATTCTTTAGATTGTGACTGCTTGGTTTGTAGCTTTCCCTAGTCCCTAGAAGTTCACCAGATGTCTGCTTTTGTATACAAACGTTCATACACTTAGAATGAAAACTATGTTTTCTTAAGCCTTCTTTCTTATTCCACAGTGTGGTTTGGTGTCTATTAATTTTTTCTTTCTTTCTGTCTTTCCGTCGTTATGTCTGTCTGTCTGGAAAAATTTATTTATTCATGCTGTTTGTTGTTATTGTTGTTTTAGCTTGACATTTTCACCTTCTTATGTATTTATGCGTATTTTTCTTTATTATAGTTTTTTTTTTGCTATTTATTCAGTTTTTTTTTTTCTCTCGTCTATTTTCTGTACCTGAGAATTGTGTAAAACACGTATAAATTTGTTGGTATTTAGGTAAATAATACATCATATACTCTTCCACCGATTTTAGTGCCCCCTCTTCCTCCGTTTCTCTCTTATATAGTTTTGATAATCTCTTATGAATTGGGGTCATTATTACAAATGAGAGTTCAACTCTTGGTTATATTAAAAAGATGATAATGATGCGCCTCAAAGATTATAAACAAATGTATGATTATGATGAGATGCATCAAGTGAAATATGCAACCTAGTGTTGCAAGGGGAGGGGACGAGTGTGAGAAAAAGTCATGTTCAGTTGCATTTTTATAATAACATATATTCTTTTAATAGGTTATTATAGTTTTATAATCTTTAAAAGGAATGGAAAAAAAAAAATCTACAAAGAAATAGGAAGCGTTTTTATAGAAATGAGTAAGAGGGGTAATATTAAGGCTATACTTTTAGAGACTTTGTTTAGAATTTAAATCAAGAAGAATTTTATTGAAGTTTAAGCTCAAATAGATAATGCTTGTTTTGGATGATTTTTTATATTTAATAAAAATTAGACCATATTTATTTTGTACTTAATGTTACAATATCTTGTTTACAATTGGTCCTTCGAACCCTATATTTAGCTTAAGCTAAATATAGGGTATAAAATTTATAGCAAACTTTTACAGAAATTAGGAAACTTAAAAGACCATTTTCTCGGCTTTTCCTTTTCAATTTCTGTTACACCATCATGGTTCGAAGGACCACTTTCTAAATATATCTAAATTTGTTTGACTTTATAAAGTAAACTAGTTTTTGCATTGTTTTGTTAAAGGTTTTTAATATTTGTTGGAAAATATAAATTCATCTTTAGTTTTTGTAAACTTATAAACCACTTCAGAAATAGGTCCTTCGAACCATAGGTTTTTCTGCATTTCAGCAATACAACCGACAACTTATTTCCTTTAGCCTAATGATGAAATAGACGTTAAAACTAGAGTATAATATTTATCCCGGAAATGAAACTGGTTCGAAGGACCAATTATAAATTATTTTTTAACACGAAATTAACACTTAAAGTTAAATATAAAGATGATCGGTAAATGATCGAAGGTTCTTCGGAATGTTTTCTTTAACAAATTATATTTAAAATTTCATAATTTTCAAACTTAATTCAGAATTCAAAATAATATTACAGTCCTACTTGGTTCGAAGGACCAACAACATTCATGATTCAAATAATCAACTTATGTACTTGAAGAAGTATTTTTACAACTTAAATTAAAAAGTTATTAAATTCTTTTAATACTCCTTATTTTGTATATGAAAATCTTTACAAAACTACTTTAATATCAATTTGATATCATTGTCAGAAGGACCAATTTAATTTGATAGTGAATATCATGTTTTACTCATAAATTTTTATCACTTTTCTAATTATTAATATTTTATTTGAAAACATTTAATTTAATGATTGTCATTAAATCTCTAATAAACATGTTTATGATTATATCATACTTATAAATGCCCGCATTGACATGAATTGTCTTAAAACTTAATATATCAAAGTAGATATTTATTTAAATTTTTTTTCTTCTCAAATTTACCAAAAAAATTCCCAGACAAGATGAAAACATGATGAAGTAAAAAAAAGAAAAAAATCAAATCAATTTTAAAACAATTATGTTATCAATCCATTGCAAAGACTGTGTCGGTAGATCTTTTCATATGTCTCTCCATAAACAAAGATTTTTGACTCTTGTCCAGCATGGCATGTCATAATCTTACAAACTGACACACACAAACATACATACATACATGTGTCACAAAATATTTCTACAATATAATTATCATCAACAATAATTTGCTTTAAATTGTCTGGGTGTGTGTGTGTGTTGGATAAAATGTGTGTTAAAATGTTTATAAACAATCAACGATCGATCAGTTGAACTAACAATTGTTGGTCGAACTGATCAAGCAGCCACCACCACTCTATGGCCACCATCAACGTTGGAGTTTGGAGTGTTGGATATGGTTTAGAAAACAATTATTAAAACGTTTTTTTTTTTTAAGTTGGTATTTATTATTTTTTTTCAGTTTGTTTTTAAAACATAATATAGCTTAAAGCTATTACTTGTGTTTGTTTTCTGTTTTATGAATAAATATTTGGCTGAATTTGAAATGTATATCCCCAAAGTGGGCCACCGTGTTTTTGTTTTTCTTCTCCAATTCAAATTGTCGTTATCAAACAACATGAATTCGAGTTGTTGTTGTTGTGTAGTTGCTGTTGTGTTATGACAATGTTAGAGTTGCACTTTTCAAACATACATTTTCATCGATATTGTAATTTTTATTGGTTTTACGAAATGTTTTAATAGACTTTATAGGCACGCGCGCCCTAAACATAAAACGTGACTTTAATTCAATTTATTAAAAAAAGAACAGAAGAAAAAAAAAATTATGAAAACAAATTTATGAATTTCAGTTCAGTTTTTATACAGTAGTTGTTGGTGTTTTTTAAGAAGTGAAATTATTTTCTTTTGGTTTTTCTGTAACATTTTCCTAAGAAATTGTAAATTAATAAATTTCTTTTTGGAAAATATTTATTATTGGTCATGTTTTTATGCTTCTTAGGAAAAAATGCAGTTGAATGATTTGATCGTATTGCTTGGTGGAATTTATAGATTTCACTTTTTATGCAGTAACAAAAATTTAGTGAACAAAATGTACGTGTTTAAAAGAATTTTTAAGAAATTCAAAATTTTCCCCTTTTTAGGGGGGGTAAAATGAAATAAAAAGAAAAAATTGACATCAAAAATTATGGGTCTTACAAAATACCCTTGGAAATATACTAAAACTGTGACAATCGAGATTTAAATTTTAAATAAATATGTCCCCTTTTTGGGGGGTAAAATGAAATAAAAAGAAAAAATGTGTACAAAAAATGGGTCTCATATAAGATACTCTGGAATAAACTAAAACTGGCCCGATTTAAGGCATTCCAGAATGAATGAAACAATAACGTCATAACATGATTACGTATAAGGTATTTTCGACACTGAATTGTCATAGGATGGATACTCTCCAGTTTGGCCTACTTAACTCTCTTGCAGGCTTCATTCTCTTTAAGGCATTCGAGAATAAATGAAACAATAACAAAGCCAAGTTATAAAATTTTCGAATCATTATAGTCATATGACATGACTACGATTATGATTAAAGTATTTTCGACACTGAATTGTCATAGGACACTCTCCAGTTTGGCCTACTTAACTCTCTTACAGGCTTCATTCTCCTTAAGGCATTCGAAAATGAATAAATCAATAACGAAAGCCAATTATAAAAATTTCGAATCATTATCGACATGATTACGATTATGATTAAGGTATTTCCGACACTGAATTGTCATACCCTCCAGTTTGGAATACATAACTCTCTTAACTCTTCACGAAAGCCAAGTTATACAAATATTGAATCATTATCGTCATATGACATAATTACGATTATGATTAAGGTATTTCCGACACTGAATTGTCATAGGATACTCTCCAGTTTGGCCTACTTAATTCTCTTACAGGCTTCATTAAGTATCTGATCAATTTCCAATGGAAAATACCAATGATCATTAATCAATGTTTGCAAATAATCAAATTAATATTTACAAAAAAGACAAACTATGCTCTCAGCATGACATCAAGGCCAACATAATGTCAATACATTAAAAATTTTACAAATATACCCAAAATCAAATATTTTTACAAATATTTAAATAATAACCAAGCTAATAACATTAATAGCTCCTACCCCTTAATAGCTATATTTAAAATTAATTTAACTACTTTTTAATAATAACTAATGATGATAATAATGATCAATAAAATGATAATTAGGTTTTAACACCATTAGATTTCAATTTCGTTTTCTTAATGAAAAAATATGTAAACATTTTAATTGCCAAAACAAACTTACCATTTCGTCTAAACTCTTCAAATCATTGGTAATAATTTGTGGTTGTGGTCCATACATTAACATGGGACCCTGATCATCATCTTCATCATTTTCTGTATCACTATCATCGAAGATATCTGTTTCAGTGCTCACAGTTTCGGTACCAACTCCGATATCGTTTTGTTCTGTATTACCATCGTTTTCGGTTTGTGTACCACAACCAATACCATTCGCTTTATTGTCGGCAGCAATTTCACGATCAATCTGACGTTCCATTTGCACTAACATGGGAGCAAGCATACCTAGGGGGAAGGGGATATAAAATTAATGAGAGATTATAAATTCATAATCTATTTTATTGTAGATTGGTTAAACCCTATAAAACTTAAGTTTAAACTTATTTGTAAGTTAAACCTAGTTTAGTAAAACCTAGGTTTAAATGTTTAGAATTAAGTCTTTTTCTGTAAATTAAGCTTAGTTTAAGGAAAGTCTAAAAGTCTGAAATTAGAAAATTTTAAAATCGTGCTTAATACAGTTTAACTTGACTTGTTCTCTAGATCAGACGTCGGCGCTAGTATTGTTCTGACAACGAAGATTTTCGGCAAATTACATGTACACAACACGATCGCAGACGAACTTCTAAACAAGAGCATCAAAAATACAAATATTTTATTTGGTTGCTTGACAGCATTCAACAAAGCAGGTTGATGTCGCTTTGTTAAAGAAATTGCAAACACAACTTGAAAAAACAAAAACAACTTGCAAAAACAAGAGCATATTTTACAAAAACAACGTACACCCTAAATAATTTTCTAGAATGCATAACAATGAAAGTAAATAAGTTCATCTTGTTTCATATATTTTTTTGTACATTTTAATTTGAAATGTTGTTTCTATGTGAAGAAATTATCATTCTTATGTACATTGATTACATTTGTTTATAAATATTCGCATTTTACAGTAATGCAATTTAATCTTCAAAATTAAAAATAACCAAATATTTTTTCGGTGCAATTTCATTGAAAAAATGCCAATAGTGTGTGTGTAGTGGTGATTTTTTTATCTGCCTCTCTATACGCCGGTATATGCTCTAGATTAAACTTAGTTTAGTAAAACCCAAGATTCCTTTTATTTAAACTTTTTTACTGAAAATTTAGTTTAAATCTCAAAAAACTAGTGCTAATTCTCCAAATTAAAACTATGTTTAAAAATCTTTTGTATTTTAGTTTAAATTTCTTTATAATTTAAATTTAGTTTGGCGAAACCTGCTTTTCAATTATGTTAAAAAATAATTACGTTTTGTTTTCATTATTTATTATTTATATAGTTTTTTTTTTATTGTTTAATACTCACCAAATTTAGCTCCTCTTCTGGCCACTTCTAAAAGGCATAAAATAACATGTTTTTCGTTTTTTCTCATAATGAGGTCGTCTGTTTCGAATAATAGGCACTCTATAATTTTAAGGCTTTTTCTGCAAAAAAAAAAAAAAAATACACAAACAAAATAGACAACACAAACAAATTATTAACAAATCAATCAATTATGTTTTATAAAAAAATAATAAACAAAAATTTAACCTGTTGGGGAATACAAATTAAAATTCAAGACTTAAAAGAAAGAAAATAAAAATTTCTTAAGGAATTCAAACTTCAAAAGACCAGAAAACTTAGAATTTTGCAATAATTATAATGGTTCGAAGGACCAATCTAAACAGGGTTCGAAGGACCGAAAATCTTTGATTTGTTTCTAATAATTTTTATAGTTATTTTAGTTCAAATGGTAATGTTTCTATAATTCTCTAGATAAAAAGTAAATAAACTCAATTTACGCACGGCTCGAAGGACCATAAATATCACGTGAATATTTTTGTTTTTTATTTTTTGAGTTGTTTGGGTTTAGGGAGAAAATCTATAGATCTTTTTTACGTAAAATGTTTAATCTTTTCAAATATTTTAAATACGGATCGAAGGACCAGAGACTTTAGATACAAAAAATTTGATTTTTTGTATCTAAAGTCTCTGGTCCTTCGAACCAAATTAAAAAAATTCAAAACTAATTTTGGGGCTGTTCGTTTTTTCTCATAATGAGGTCGTCTGTTTCGAATAATAGGCACTCTATAATTTTAAGGCTTTTTCTGCAAAAAAATACACAAACAAAATAGACAACACAAACAAATTATTAACAAATCAATCAATTATGTTTTATAAAAAAATAATAAACAAAAATTTAACCCGTTGGGGAATACAAATTAAAATTCAAGACTTAAAAGAAAGAAAATAAAAATTTCTTAAGGAATTCAAACTTCAAAAGACCAGAAAACTTCGAATTTTGCAATAATTATAATGGTTCGAAGGGCCAATCTAAACAGGGTTCGAAGGACCGAAAATCTTTGATTTGTTTCTAATAATTTTTATAGTTATTTTAGTTCAAATGGTAATGTTTCTATAATTCTCTAGATAAAAAGTAAATAAACTCAATTTACGCACGGCTCGAAGGACCATAAATATCACGTGAATATTTTTGTTTTTTATTTTTTGAGTTGTTTGGGTTTAGGGAGAAAATCTATAGATCTTTTTTACATAAAATATTTAATCTTTTCAAATATTTTAAATACGGTCAGAACTAATTTTGAGACTGTTAAGACCCGAAGGACCATTTTTCTTTATAATATTTTAAAATTCAACACTTTGTGGACCGAAGGACCTTAAATAAATTCTAAGTTTTCCTTAAAAGACTCAAATGGTTAATTCTTATAAAAAAATCTACATAAATTTTTTTGTTTGTTTATTTTTTGGCCGAAAAGTCCCATGAAGAAAGATCACTTTTTTGAAGTATATTTTCGGTAATTTGATTAACAAACTTTTACAAAGGAAATTAATTTGTTCAGCTTGTTCAGCTTTACACTGACTGCTTTTAATAAATTCTAAGATTTCTAACACAAAACTAAATTTTATCAAAGATCTTTTACCATAATTTTCCAACAATAATTTTATCCTATAGAAATACGATTTTTTTTTTATATAAAAATTGCCATTTAGTACTTATTTTGAGGCATTCAAGCACATTCATTGCCTCATTATAAACTGAACACACATCAAAGTGTTTTCATCTTTGAATCACGAAAAAAAACTCACAACTCTTCTTTACGAAAACAATTCGTTTAAGTTTAGTGAATAAATTAAGAAAAAAATACAGATTTTTATATCTATTTTTTTTCTGCTTTAATTTGCTGTGAATGAATTTTACGCGGATACGGTTTAATTTAGTTGATCTAAATTTAATTGAAATTTCATTTCATTTTCACGCAGATCAACATGATCATCATCATCATCATCTTTTACTTTTCTTTATTTTCATTTTCTTTTGTATGATTTGATTATTGCCAAGAATTTGTGTGTGTTTTTTTCATTTTATAAGATTCTAGTTGAAAGTGCAATGATCGTAAGGAATGTTTTCTTCTACTTGCAAAATTGTCTAAATTAGATGTGAATGTTTAAGGGAAACAAATTTTTTTCTAAAATTCAAAATAGAATAGATTCATCAAGAGCCAAGTTATTGACACTTAAATTACTATTTTTATTACATTTTAATTAATTACAATCTGTTTAAGGCAACATGATTTTTTAATTAAAATTAACTTTTATAGAAAAGTTCAGCAGATTTACAGTTTAGAGAAAATAGTCTCCATATATGGTTCGAAAGTCCAGTCATTTTTGTTAGTATGAAATATAATTATTTATTCTTTTAATTCATTTAATATCTTCCATTAAAATCTTTAGGTTAGAAAATAAACGATATATGATTCTAAGAACCATTCTAAGAACCAAATTACTGAGGCTCGAAGGACCATTTTAAATGTTAAATAATAATTAAAGTGAATTTTTCAAAAAAATTCTTTATACGGTTCGAAGGACCACTAATATTTTATATCAATATTTGGATTTTTCTTATTGTAGGAATTTTTTATTATTCTATAAAGCAACGTGGTTTGCTTTATTGGTTCGAAGGACCCATATTTTTGTAATGATTGATATATGAGTTTGTACTTGTTCTATTGTTGAGGCTCGTAGGACCATTTGCTAATGTGTATATCATTTGTTAATCTTCTCAACTAAGTTTAATATTCACATATAAATAGCGCCGCCATTATTATTTGAAATTTCATTAGGTTCGAAGGACTCAATTTTTAATCAAACTTTTCAATTCATTTCAAGTATTTCCATAACATGAAGTTGGAAAACGGTCAACTTAAGGTTCATAGGTCTAAAAATCGAATAATATGTTGCATATGTTTTAACACTTAGGCTCGAAGGACCATTCTCTAAGTGTTAATTTATTTAAATGAAGAAGTGTTCGAAATTTTAATATGATATCAGTTATAATCAAGAGGTCTTAACGGTTACTTAAACTTGTGAAATGTTATTTATATGGTTCGAAGGACCAAATTCCTATAAATATTAATATATCGACTTTTACAAATATTTAGGTTCGAATGACCATATCCAAAGTGATAATTTATTAAAATCTTTTTTATTGTATTCGAAACTAAAATGTAAATCTAGGCCTTGTCATTATGGGAAGTCTCAATGGCGACTTAAACCTACAAAATAATATTTATACAATTTGAAGTAGCAAATAACTTTGCTTCCAATATATTTTGGTTTATTCTAGGATTGAATATTTTAAAAATAATATTTTTAAATAATTTAGGCTCGTAGGACCATATTCCAATAGTGAATTTTTATTAAATTTACTCCAAAAATATGCAATTATAGGATTCAAAAGCAAACGATTTTTTTTGGTTTGACTCTAAGAAAGGTTTTATTTAGGCTCGTAGGACCATATTAAAATAGTGAATTTTTATTAAATTTGCTTTAAAAATATGCAATGATAGGATTCAAAAGCAAAAGATTTGTTTGGTTTGACTCTAAGGAAGGTTCCAATATATATCCCCATAAATGAATAATATTTGTTATTGGTTCGAAGGACCATTTAATAACTTATGTTATAAAGACTTATTAGGTACTTTCAAACCAAGTTAAGAGATGTAAAATCAATTACTTAATAAACTTTTTCAAACACTACCATCTTTAGTTATAAAGAGATCATTATTTTTTTCATATGGCTCGAAGGACCTGTTAAGGAAAATGCAAAATTATAATAGTTTTTAAACTGAACCATCAAGAATCTTTTAAAAATATTGAATCCATTTAAGTATTTTAATTTATATGTGCAGCGCCATATATTGTCCTCATATGGCTCGAAGGACCTGTAGTAAAAATATTCAAGTTCGAAGGACCACTAATCAAGCATTACTTCTCAATTTTTAAATTTCCAATTTTTTTTTGTATAAAATTTAAAACTCAAACTCACCTGCACCAAGTTATAAAATTTGATACATTATCGCGAGCAAAGAATGTACCGCTTTTTGCCCCTGGCAAATAGTGTACATTGCCCATGGCCAATATAGGACCAGCCGAGCCGGAAGTTATTGAACGTGTCATTGATTTGTTGCGGGCCTGACGTCTGGCCAAATAATCCTCAGCTGCTTGGCGTACATAGTTAGCGTGCTGTAATATGGACAAGAATAAATAAATAATGAATTTAAAATTTTGCTTATATATAAAAAAAATCTTAAGAATCTCGAAAAAAAAAAAACAAATGTAAATCTTATTTTCCTAATTTTTTTTTTTTTTTTGCTTAAAATTATTTTGAATGAGACATAGAAATATGTTGCATAAAGTAATGCTGTATGGCAAACGAGACGACATTTTGAGGCTACATACATCGTAATGAGACGCCAATAAATGTCGAAAAGTAACAAATAAAATAGATAAGGGGTGTAAAGAGGAGCCAGTAAAATTTTAATTTGATGAAAAACATTTTGAAAAACAAATTGAAATAGAAAGTGAGAGAATTTTATTTGATTTATAAGCAATGAGTCAATTAATTTGTTATATTTTTAGCAAAGGTGTGATAAGTTTTTACACACTTTTGCTAAAATTAGTTTGTAGTTGTAGATTTTTTTCAACAATTATCTTTTAATTATTGGTTTTTAAAATTTTTAATTAGTTTTGTTTATAATTTACGCAACCCTGAACATTTGTTTTAACTATTATCTATAACATTTTCAAGATAACATCTCACCTCTTGAGTATATAATTTCGCATATATGTATGTATGTCTACTCTATTATTTAGGCTTAAATTTCAATTAAAATTTTTGTTGTATTAATAAATGACAATTAATCTAATGTCACGTTTTTTCATTTATTTTTATTTTTAATAAAGTATGTGAATACTTTACTTTAAAATGACAACTACGTTTTGTACGGAACATAATAAAATAAATATGCCATTTTTTCCAGTATGATGTTGGCTTAGACATCGTTTTAATTTAAACAAAAAAATAAATAAATAATAAACAATTCATTGTTATTGTTTGCATAATAGTGACATAAACAATTAAAAATAATAATAGAAAATATAGTATTTTTTTTATATCTTAAAACTACAGAAATAGTTATAATAAATATTTAAGCAGAGATTCCAAATATTGGTACAAGATATAGTAAATGGTCCTACGAACCGTTATAAACAAACGAAATATTAAATGGTCCTACGAACCCTTATAAACAAAGCGGAAAGTATTTGACTTTAAAACGTTTAAAACGAGATGGAATAATTTTAAAGAAATGTCTTTTTAGATTTGATAATATTTTGGAGTCTATGTTGGTCCTTCGAGCCATATGTTTTCAATGATTCGAAAAACTCAAAATATAATAATAATAATAAAAAATTTAATTTTTTTAATTGTTTAGGCCCGAAGGACCATTTTCCCAGAGTTCTTTTCTATTAATCTTCTCTACAGCTTTCGAAATTCAAAACTAAATCCAGTTGTTATATTTCCTAATAAACCAAATAAGGTTCGAAGGACCAAAAATCTATGATAGCAATACACTAATATTATTCATATTGTAAATACTTTAAATTAATATTTTGAATTAATTCCAAATTTTCACTTAAACTTTTTGAAATCGGAAACTAGTAGAAATGAAACTAGCATTTGTCATGATATTTAGGCTCGTAGGACCATTGCGTTTGAAATATTAATATATGTTTAGTCATCATTGCTATTATAGGTCTTAATATTATTTAAAAGGCTCGAAGGACCAAATATATGATTTTTTCATAAAGCCACACTTTGGAAAAACAATATTTTTAATATTAAGTTCAAGAATTGTTTGTTTAAAACTTTTTCAAATTTAAGACTCCCTGACCCCCCTAAAGACACTCATTCTTTAGCACACACATTTGTCGGCTGAAAAAAAGGGTTTGTATACACAACTCATACGTCTGTCTCATTCGTATCATTTGGTTTTGCGATAAAGAAAAAATTATTAATTGCACATTTTTTCCAACGCTTTGTTAAAATGTTCTTAATAGTTTTTTGTTTCTTTCGCATTTTAAAAACGTTGAATTTTTTTCATTCTTAGATATCTAGTCGCAAACGTATGCAATGAGGCCAATTAAATGTCATGTCATATTGGTGTTGAAACGCAAAAACGCATTCTCACAAGCAAATGTATAAAATTGTGCATGGCCAGCATAAGAGGGCACCTCCTTTGTTTCACTATAATGACTAAATGTTCTTACCATGGCCACAAACGTATAGTTTGGAATACAGATCAATTTGAATATATGTAGATTTTTTGGGGTTTTTTCTTTGTTTTAAGGGAAGAATAGGCAGGCAATTTATGGACATGATTTATTATAATTGAAAAAAGTGGCGCCTAGTTTAAATTTAAATATTTTTGTAGT